AGATTTAAAAAAAAAAAAAAAAAAAATAGTGAAAAAAGATGCATACAAAATACCGCCGGAAACATAAAAGTGTTCAGCTTAACCACCAAAAATGACCGCTTTTCTTGGGCTAATTCTGCTTGTTATGCAGTTTCTCGGACGTGGAATATAAATGTACGTAAGCTAAATTACAAGAAAAGAAAACCAGTGAAAAGATCCATATAAAATACTGGCAGAAACATAAAAATGTCCGCCAAGAGCTTAACCACCAAAAATGACCCGCTTTTCTTCGGCTAATTCTGCTTGCCACACAGATCCTTGGACCGTAATGAATCATAAATGCACGTAAACTAAATTACAAGAAAATTAATGAAGGGCAGTCTAATACGCTGCTGAACAATGTGCAAAAGGTAGCCAAATATCTTTCATGAGTAGGTTTCTCTTGAATTTTTCAAAAAAAGGAGCTAGAAAATTCGGCTGCATCCTATTCATGAGATTTTTTTCACACTGTTATTTTCATGGTCAGCAACTCTACAAGTAAAGTGCGTTAGTAGCAAGAAAACAATTAAAATATTACAAAAATATGACAAAATAAATCCAGGGTGGTAGGGACTGATCTTTGCAAAATATGTGCAGAAGAAAAAAACAACACGTATAATAGAGAAAAGGATTCGGCTGATAAGTATCTGTATAATTTCTGCACAAGAAAGAAAAAAGTGTGAAAGAAAACGAAAAAAATTTCCATTTCGGATTATAAGAAACTAAAAATTTTCAATCCCTTTATTTCCGCTTTTTTTCAGCTTTCTTGGCAGTGAAAAATCTAAACTACATACAAAAACAACAGAGCCTTTTTCTTCAAAATCAATTTTAGGCTTTTTTGTCAAAAACTGTAAAAGCTTTTTTATCAAAAACTTACCGGCAACAAAAAATTGCTTTAAAAAGCTGTAGAAAGTGAACAAAAAAACCACGTACATCTTGAAATTATTGTTTAATAAAATTCCAACAAAAAAATTTACTCATTTTTCAATGGTGCCGCGTGGTTAACCGGGAAGAATTGAAATCATAGCCTGATATCCCAGCAGAGGGCAGGTCTACTCGGGCAACAGTGTGGCTTCAGAGAATAAGTACTTTTATTCAAGAACACATGCAAGGTTGATGCCCACGTGATCTATTCTTATATTACCAAGTTGACAATTGTTGAAGAGACGAATGTGCTGAATGAAAAGCAGGATTGTTCGCCAGAGATTCTTTGCACCACGATCAACCTCAAAACGCTCGCGGCCACCATCCAGCACCAGTTCGAAATGAGGCGGATGTACACTGCTCTAAAAATCAACATGACTAATTAAATGACAAATGAAATTAGTGCGTGAGGTCAACTGAACAGCA